AAAGCTGTACCACTGCACAGTCTTTTCACTTCAACAAGATCTCACCCCTTAAGTCTCACTTCTCACTTTGTCTCTCATATGCCGTCTCACTCTGCTGATATGATGGGGCCCAGCACCGAGTAAACAGACTGAACCAACATTATGTGAATCTCAAGATAATGAAGAAGTCTTTCATTTTTTTCAATTCTACACAGTTCCGGTCCTGCATACAGAACAGAAACATCTAAACCTAGACAAAATATATCACAATACCCTAATGCTGGATTGGTTTATATTGTGAAGTGAATGAATATGTTTGTCACCATGCCTTTTAGATACATATCAAAATTATTTAAACATCTATAATATGTAATAATAAATCTTCTGTAATCATGGTGTGGTGGAGATCTTGTGAGGTCACCAGGAATTCAGATGTCTCAGGCAGAAGTATTTACTGTAAGCTGTAAGCGCCAAGGAAAAAAAGGTGAGCAGCACAAAGCCAGCAAGGGACTCAGAGTAGTTCCACACCAATTTCTGAGCAGGTGATGTCCAGCAGGGCATGTATATGTCCTTATCTAACTATTGTTATGTGTCTTGCCTGTTGTCCTTCTTTACACGTCTTCTCCCTACATTCTTACCTATAAGACCTTGCTTACCCTAGCTATGGAGGATAAAGATGGCTTCATCTACGCACCAACAGTCGTAATAGAAGCTAAACAGTGAACCATTGTATAACAATGTGAGGTTGTTATGACCTGAACTCCTGTGGTGTGAGTAAAGCCTACAAAATAAGACGGAAATTAGAGGTAAGAAAAACTCCTTCACATGGAAATAAAAGCCTGAAGAATAACCTGCAATTCGAAACACTGTGGAACAACACTCCCCCTCCAAGAAAAAAGGATGCAACACCAAAATGTTCCAGCTATGGAATGGATGTGTAACATTTAAACACCAGCAGAGAGACGTATTACCCTGGTAACATAACTGTGGAAACTCTCAGGTGTCCTGGGGCCTCATTTATAAAACAGTGCAAGGATCTTTAGATTTATAGAACTTCAATTTCCCTTTATACTTCACAATCAATTGAAAATGTGTGCCTCATGCTCCGCCAAAACACTCCCACAATAAACAATAATTGTTCAGTGAAAATCCCTAATGTATGTTGATATACATGTTGTTCCTGTGGAGAATGGAGGCAGTGTTTATGGAATAGTTATGGCTCACTAGCACAAGAACAAATAACACTGCTGATTTGAATGTTTATGATAAAGTGGATCTATGTGTAACATATGATCCGAAGTGAAATTTAATTTAATTACTGCAATCTGGCTTCAGTCCACCACCTCACCATCTGCATCTCCAAAATGTTTGTAGAGTTTGTAGGCTCAGAGTTTCTGTACAGGTGTGCACATTCTCTTCAAGTTTGTTTTTATCGATCCCAACTTTTGCGTTGGAGGTGACATACGCCTCTTTCAGGTCCCACTTTGTGTGGATTATAAATGAGGGCCCTCGTCTTCAAAAACTTCTATACCTTTGAAAAAGGAGCCTTGAAATTATTCATTGGTTAGCCCAGTATTGAGATTACCCTGCTAATGCCTGTGTGATTTGAAAGGAAAGATGTGGGCCAGTGTCAAAAGAAACATTTGTAAAGGAAAAAGGAGCGTGGAAGTTGAACAGTTTCAGTCAAGCTCTGTGAAGGCCTCTAGCTCAGTGGCAGCTTTAGTATCCACGGGCATATTGTCGGCCTGTGTCCGAACACTTAGCACCCACTGTAGGAAAAAGAAACACTGATCAATAAGTGCTGTATGTGGTTCAATAAGTGCATTGATCATCACACAAACAAACACATCACAACCATAGCGGGAATAAGAGTGCTGGGGCAAAGTCAATACCTCTCAGCCCGACCTAACGTAAGTCTGCTTAGCCTTGTTTCCACTTGTCCTTTCACACAGGATCAGTCAGCTATCATCTACAGTACAGGGGAATACACACTTGAATTTCATTTTCAACATGTCTGATGTCTGCAGCTGCGTTTAATTCTTGAAAAATAATTCTGATTTTGTTCTGATTGTGGCAGATTATGTCATTAAATTGTTAAAAAAACCGCAGAGTGAAAGAATTTTATTAACCAAGGATAATCCATCTTGGGAAAATTAAAAACGCAGCATGAATCAATTGATATCTACCTTTTGATGCCAGCTCTTGATATGTCACATGAAAAGTCATTAATATCATGAATTGCTGTTAATTCTCTGATTCATCCTAAGACAGATAAAGGATAAAAATAAAAAAAGGCAGAGTCCCATTCCATGCTGTTATCAGGTAATACTTTTTTATCTTATAGAATGTCAGCGACAGCCAACAGATAAAGCTCCAGTACATTTTTTTTTTTTTTGCCAAATAAGGAAACATCATACGATGACTTGGCTGACCTACACCAATAAGAAGCGTGGATATTCATAACGAGAGTGACACTGAATATCCAATAATATCTAACAGCTCGGGTTTGACTCCAAAACAAAAGAATGAAAGGATGGTGGATGGATAAAGATCCCTAGAATTTACTTGGGAACCAGATGGCAACTTGGCTCCACAGCAAATAGGAAAGTCCCAAAGATTCACTGCAGGAGTGATGCACTGTACAGAACAGAGATAGCAGCTTTGCATCTTCACTGAATGTACATGACAACAGTAAACACATGGTGCACCTGACAGCGTGAAGCTGCCGATTTCTATAGAAGTTATGACTTGAATGTTGGGTTTGGCACTCACCTTTTTATCTGCACAAGTCGGACAAAGAGAACTGTCCCCTCGAGCCAGGGTGGCCGGTGAGTGACACACACTGTTGTTATATTACAGGAGGATTCTAGCTAATTACAGCATACATCCGAAGACACATTCATTGCCTTCCTAGCTGAAATGCCTTTGATGACTCATTGCATCCCCACAGATAAATTCCACACAGTTTTTGCTACAGGGCGGAAATAAAAAATAACACACACGTTGGACCTTTAAACACTTTTCACCAGTCATTTCCACAAAACACATTACAGGGAGGAGATAATCCAGTGGCAGTGGATGGTTTGCTCCGAGGTATTTCGGCGATGCTTCACGGTTGGGTCAGCCAACAGCTGCTGGAGGTGAGATATCTAGGATGAAGTCCTCTCCCCAAACGACATCAACTCTATTTTAATTCTCCACACAGCATGGTGCATTGACACCTGGGCTGAGCACATGGTGAAAATTAGGGCCACTGTAGGGGACCTTGACAAACAAGTGACTTTGACTGAATTTATCAGGGCGCCCCCAGAGTCAGACGCTTCTCACACACACAGCAGAGGAGGTTTGTTTTAGTTTGTACCAGTTCCAGCTTAAAACCCTACTTATGTATGGCACAATCCTTGTTGGTCATCTGGTTTTATTTTATCAGTATATATATAGTATGTCCATATCAGAAATTGTACAATGTGAAGAAGATGCGATCTATCTTTATGAGAAATGTATGTATTCTCCATTAAAAAACATAGAAATGTGCATAGTCTTTTTTTTATTCTTCAGCATTACAGAAGCAGAAGTCACACAAATTATGTAATTTAAAATGAATAAAATATAGAAGAAATTTAAAAAAAAATGTATATTTTTAAAATTCGCCCCAGCACCCCACCCCACAGCTAAAATCTAAAGCCAGGACAATAAAGATAGTCTTTTATTTTCATTTTAGTAAAGGTGCTAAAGTGCACTGAAGATTTTCAGAAAATATGAAGTTTGAAATTAAATTTGTTCCTGGGTTTGGATGTGATCTGGTGGCTTGGGATCAGACACAAAACATTATATGAATATCTGAATCCATTGTTTTGGCATATAAAAAACAAAGGAAACAAAAGTCTGTTATTCATTCTTGATACTCTATTAAATTTGTTCCCAGAAATGACAAAAAAAAATAAAAAACCCTGAACAGATACAAAACTTGTAACCAACTAAGTTTGGGGGAAAAAAAGTCTATTTGCCATCTCTCAGTTGCTTAATATTGTCCTACTAAGGAGGAGAAAACATTCATTTTAACATTTGTTGGGCCTAAAAGTTAATAAACTTGTAAAACAACAGAGGGATGGAAAATGTTTAGCCACAGTTCGGCTTGAATATTTCAGGTTATAGATGAACTGCCGAGTGTCTGACAAGACCCTCTATATAAACTTTGAACACAGTCTCTCCAGGAGACATCGATAGTTGTAAATATTTAATTCAGTGCCTCCGACAATGCAAGCCACTGAAACAAATCTTCACCAGATTGAATTCAAGATAAATAGCACGGAAATATCACCAGAGCTGATACACAGATTTTTATGCCATCATTTTGACAGTGTGGCCTTGTTGGGGGGTTTTGTTCCACTGATCATGTATTGGTTCATCCAATGTGCATGTCAGCAGCAATACAATATGTATAGACACTTCAGGTGGTTAGTGAACTTTCATCTTTCCATATTCAAAGTCATGTATCACAGGAAGACTGGTGTCGGACCCTGAAAATGGGATTTTAACGCAGTGATCACTTGGTTTAAACTAAATAATAGTCCTGCAGATAACTTTATCTACCTGGAAGAATCAGTATATGTACTCTTGATTGTTTGTTACCTTACTATTACAGTTCATTTTATTAGTGGAGTGAACTCAACTTATACTGAACTCAAAATTGTAAATTGAAATTACTTTTAATTTAATTTGACTGGTCTGTAGTTTTATAATGATTTTCAAGAAGCTTCCTGGAAAGTGTAAATGTTATTTGGTACAAATTACAATAAGAATATCCTTGAGAGAAAATCTGCATTTAAGCCCAAGTAGATATTCTTTCCTTATAGGTAGGTGAGAATTGACACAAAAAATGGAACCACCAAGTTAAAGTGTTACCAAAGACAAATATGTTTTACGGATACTGAATATCAATATCATCCTTTAAACATGTTAGTAGCAAACAGTACACAACCTGTGAGAAACAAATGATCCACACAGTTTAATTTTTTAACTTTTATTCACTTAAAGTCTCAAGTGTTAAAGCAAGAACAAAACATTTATAATGTCCTTTGGTGGGATTTTATTACACTTTATTAATACTGTATATGTAAACTGATATTCTTTGATGCCAGCACGTTGCCAATACAAAGGAAAATCAACTGCACAACTAAAAGAAATAATAACAAATAAAATAAGTGAATGAAAGAAAAGGAGAATGAAAGAAAACAAAACCATAAACAATTGCTTCTGCATTTGGATGTCTTAAATAGATACATTAAAGGTTGCCTTTTTTCAATCACAGTTCGGCAAAGATACAAAAGGACTATATGATTCTTTTTTTGTTTGCTCTGTCGAGAAAAAAACTTGCAAATACACTGATGGTTTTCTATGCACGTCTTGTCTGCTCAGGTGATAACTATCCTCTGACCATGATCGCAGGGAGCGTGGTGGCTCTAAGATTGAAAAGAATCAGACAGCTTTATTGGAGTATCTTTTTGGAGGAGGGGAAAAGGAGGCAAGGGAGGCGAGGGTGGGGAGGGGAGAGGGCTTCGTACACATGTGCATCACTAACATCGGACAAAAGAATCTTTCAACCAACAAAGGTTTACAGAGTAACGTTCACGAAAGCACAGGTCAGTGGCAGGATGGCGAGGGGGCTCAGCATGGGGGGAGAGGGAGGGAGGGAGGATGAACAGGAGGGAGGATGAGATAGAGCTCGAAGGAGAGACAGAAAGCTAGAGAGGGATCGACGTGGGCAAGGTTTGTGTGTCACAAAGTGGCAGTCCGGACAGATTTCCTTCTATCCACAATGCACTGACAGCAAAGAATGCGTCCTGTCTTTGTCCTCTTTCAGTTTGTGGGTGTATTTAAGTATAATGTTGTGTTTCAGAGGCCAGTCTTTGCCTTTCAGCAGAGACAGTTTCTTTGAGATTTCTTCGGCGTCAGTCCAGCCAACATTAACTCGCAGAGGCATCCCGGGGGGATCGGTGGCCACTGTCGGCTCGTGCGATAGCTGATTGGTCGCAGCTGTTGTTGCCGTGGCAATAAGAGAGGAAGTGAATGAGTCTGTCATCTTCAGTTATCCCTCCTCAAACTGGAAGGAGCTCAAGTACCTGGTATGGCTTAGAGGGGGAGGGAGCCTTACTGTTCTTTGCTCATTTTACTCTCATTAAATAAACACTCAGTTTCTCTTTATTTTTAATAATATCTGGCATTTTTAGAAGTATATGTTTGTTCATTTCTATATATTCTTTGAAATTAAATGAAAAGTTTTTGCACTCATTTGTCTGGCACATTCCCTTTTCATCAGCGCGAGTATCCATTGAGTCTGGCGGCGGAGAAGCTCAGTACAGTACAGTCCAGAAAGCTCATGGTTGTTCTTGTTTAATGGTTGTTGATTATTTGAAAGGTGGGATGGGCGGGTTAAGGTGGAGAGGTTGGGGAGCGTATCACTCCCACTAGGTCATGGGTCTCTTTAGAGCACAGCGGGCCTGCAGGAAGCCTCTCTCAGCAGTGCCGAGCCCAGCAGCAGCAGCAGCAGCAGCCCGAGGGAGGACGGAGGCATCAGGGGGGACTGGCCCGAGTCGGGGCCCCTGCAGCCCCCAAGCTCCGACTCGCAGCGGGGATTCTCACACATCAGGCCTGTGTAGGCTGAGGGACAGTTGCAGCGGACGTTGTTGACACACACCCCGCCATTTTGGCAGTGCAGGAGTTCGTTGTTACAGACCTGGGCTGCGGTGGGAGCAATGTAAAGACAGGAGAGAGGGGTGAGCATCAAACATGCAGGAGGGTTTTGGGTGACACTTTACTTGAAGTGTGTTGTGCATCAAAAGCATATTCTACCCTGCCGTCCTAACAGGATCGGATGAAACTCAAATGATCACTGTGAGGAAATTGATCTAATGTTTTTCTTCAAGTAAAGTGTTTCCACAGTTTATTCTTTCCTAAAGGAATAGTTAAACATCCTGGGAAATATGCTTCTTGACCTTATTCCCGAGAGTTAGATGTTCAGAATGATAAGATTCACACACCTATACAGTAAATATAAGGCTGGAGCCAGCAGCACGTTAGCTTATCATAGCATAAAGACTGGAAACAGGGTGAATAAGCTAGCCTGGCTCTGTGCAAAGGAAACAAAATCCACCTGCTGTACCAGCTCCTCAAAAATCACTGACTAACACAATATATTTAATTTGTTTATTCCACGTACAAAAAAAGATTCAATAAGTAAGAGATGATGTGTTAGTCACTGAGTTTTTTAAACAGAGCTAGGCTAGCTGTTACCTACTCTTTCCAGTCTTTGTGCTAAGCTAAGCTAACTGTCTACTGCTTCTTGCTTCATATTTACTGTGTAGATGTAAGAGTGGTCTCTGCAAAAATTGGAATCAGTTCATTTCTCAAAATGTCAAACTATTACTTTAATATTTCATTAAGCAGTGCACTGGATTTGCATAAAGTTCTGGATACACATAGTAGTAAGTAACATGTATGAAATTATTGATGTATTGATTTTTAAGACAAACACTGCAGTGCATACATCATCAATTACACCTGGTAAAATTTGAAGTACAGTCATGTTAGTGTTGTTAGTGTAAGTTTGTACCTAAGAGCATTTTATTTTCCCGGGGATTGTCTCATCTTTCTACAAAGGCAAATTTATTGCATCAGGGTAAAGATGACATAATAAAATGAAAATTTCACACACAGTGGCTTCTTAGGGCTCTTGTGTCACACCTAGTATTCTAGTTTAAGGTGGTGACAAGTCCTCTATATTTTAAACGTCCCATAAGAATTTAATACCACTGTTTCACATTTTCATATTGTGCAAATTCTTCCTTGTTCTTTTTTTTTAATGTAACCTCTATAAAGTTCCACATCCTCCTCTAACAATATGACATGCAATTGAACATTATGGCACCTGACATTTAAACATGACAGATGTGATGACTTTTTTTTCAATAGAGACTAAAAATACACATTAAACACTATTGCTTTGATAGTCTGCAGTTATAACATAATTGTCTGTATCTACCAAGACCAAAAACCACTTTATAGACACATGGCAACCAGAACAATTTCAACTCATGTTTTGCATGTAAATGTGCAGCAATCATTCCGTGTGAGTAAATTACATTTTAATCATTTCCATTTCTGTAATAAAATATCATTAAAGACAAAAAAAAAAAACTGTTATCTACTACACAGTTTCCTCAAAGCCTCAGAGGCTTTCCCCCAAACAGCACTGACTTTAGACAAACTGAACGTCAGGTGAAAATTGGTGTATATTTAGAGCTGGGACACCGAGGCCACTCTATTCCCAGCGGAGGCAAGCTGTCAAGCAAGCTGGAGGCAAACAAAGCAGCACGCACAAACTAATAAACCAACAGAGACAAATAAACAGTGATAAACACAGGGGCCACTTCTGCCCATTTCAGTCCTTTATGGGAGTGGAAAACAATGTGTTGAGCAATCTATGAACTCTATGGGACATAAATATCACAATAACAAATATCAGGCCTCTCTCCTAATACTCACAATAGGATGCATGCTGTCTCCCAGGAATTGCCAAATAAGGCTCTGATGGGAGGCTTGTTAAGAAACATTGACTCTCTGAATCCCATTTGTGCCACGTCTGTTTTGTTGGAAAAAAGGGAGCTGCTTTTTGGCTCAGTAAGTTTTGCTTCCGGCCACCGCTCACCAATTACCATGCACAACTAAATCCAAATAAGACGTCTGAACTCTATCTTTGTCTTTTTTTTCCCCAGCTGAAATATCAATTCCATGACCAACTCAACCACTCAGAAGAGACTCCAGTAATAATAACTCAATAAACAACCTCTTCTTTGTTAGGAAAACCTGACAAGGCAGCGGCTAAACTGGTGATAAAAATGTCTCCTCAAAGAAGACAAGAAAGAACAATCAAGTGTATTAATGAAAGAATCATGTTCTTCCCCGAGAACCTTGATATGATCCTTTAATTAGACAGCCCTTTCATCTCATCCATCTTAACCCTCCTCGCCTTTATGATAAAATGTGAACATGTTGTACATTTCTAACAATAATCAGAGTGTTTGATATTTATCAAGAAGATACTTGAAATGATGCACAAGGTCAACCATGCGCAACAAGCTAGAGCACAAGAGACATGAAGGCTATGCTGAAGCTGTGATTGTTGGGACAATAATGGCAGCTTTAACTGTGCAGCTCAAAATAAAGGTGATGTGACACAAAAAGAGTCATCTGAGTTGCACTATATTTGACTTCCACCATACTGGGGGTGGCATTTCCTGCTTGGAAGACACTTAGAACACTGCATGGATGTTCTTCTGAGGTTGCATTTAGCCTCAGCTTGATCTCTGTCTTCCAGTAAGTAGGCTAAGCCCAAATACAGTAACATTTGAATGTCTATGTGTAGATATTTTCAAAGGCAGGCATCATTTAGAAATACAAACGTTGTCATTTTCTTCTGACTCTAATAACTTTCCAATAAGGCTGATCACTGTTAACTCGATTTGTGTTATGTTTACATAAAGATACTGAAAGTGACATTTCGTTTTAAGGTAAACCAGGCCTTTAAAGGTGAATTCTGCCTGATACTCAATACTGCATAGCAAGATGAGCTGACTTCAAAGGAAAGTTCAGGTAATGGTCGAGGCCTGCAGGCCTCGTCGACTACTGAAGCACAGATATCGATTATTTAAAAAGAAGCATCAATAACAAGTTGTGTGAAAGATTCTGGGTCAGTAAGATTAAAGATACTGTGGCACTTTGAACAGATGAGTGTAACAGCAGAGGGCATTATGGGTATGATCTGGTCCTTGTACTATTTGTTTGGTCCTTGTTCCATGGAAGGGTTGGCACTGAAAACAAGTGTAATAGTGTTTTTAATACTTTAAACATGATTGTTTTTACTATGAATAAAGAATTGTGTTGAAAGCTTGAAAAGTCAGTTGAGGTAAGAAGAATTATTCTGTGAACTCTGCACCTTTATCTCGCTTCAGTCCCTCACATTAACCATTTCTCCACATGTAAACAGAGCCACCACAGGCAGGAAATGACAAGATTTGTGGCGTTTGCTTTTGATATGAGTGATAATATTTAGAGAGGGGACCGATGAACTAGGTGTGCCTGTCTGGTGCTGTGATGTGTTTGACGAGAGATCTGAGTTTTAATTGCATTCTCCAGTCTGAATGCAGATAGAGTCTTGTCCACGCACATAAATACTGCAGTAGCGAGGAAGCAAGGGGAGGTCAGGATTGCAAAGTTTTCAAACTATTTCAGATGTGGAATAAGTAAAAGCAGAATCTTCCTGGAAAATAAGTATTTCAGATTGTTTCCCGTTTTAAACTGGTAGTGGAAAACATTGTGTGCAGCCAGTGTGAGAATGAATTGAAACAGTTGTATGTATTATCCACTTTGTGTCCATTTGTTGTTCAGGTTATTCTTCTAATTCCTGTGGAAAACTGGCTTTTTAAGTTATTGCCAGAGCTGTAGAGATTTTTATTGCTTCTAAAACATCAACAGCAATATATGGAGAAATCCATAGTAGCAGCAAACATACTCATTTCTCCACCATAGCCTCAGTAGACCAGAATACACTGGCTTTTACCTTTGCAGACTGTACAGCATCACACCTAGTGCACCAGGACCAAATATAACACCACACTGTTTTTCACACTAGCACACTAACTGAAATAAAAGTAGATTAAAGAAAGTGGGTACACCAAGAGAGTAAATTACATTTTTAGTACACCCAAAATTGGATTTTTAAATCCTGCACATTTGCTGGTGTTCAGAATAAAAGTCTGAGCCATGCTGACTTGCAGGTTTTGAAGACAAACAAATACTTTGCACAATGTTTGATGTTTTTAATCACTGCTCCATAGATAATCTGACAAATCAAAACTACTAATCCATTATGTTATGTCTCTTACTGTATGCCACTCTTTTATTCCACTTTCTTTTTTACTTTACTTGTTACTTGGAAACATTTAATTACTGCTGTTTTACAGGTCAGCATTCCCAGTATGTGGTAAATCCTCAGGGTTTGTGTATGCACTCATGACAAGGTGACGTGGGATGTGAGCCTTTACGAGCTATGTCTTCACGCAGGCCTTTTGTGTAGAGATAGATGCACATATTGACAGTGTGCATTCACACTATACACGCTGAATATATTTGTTGAAGAACAGTGCATTTTAATGAACATCCATCTGCATCAGGAACGATGAAAATAAACTGTTTATTCATTTTACACTGAATTTAAATTATAATGCACTGAGTTTAAAGCATTTTTTTATACAGTAACAAAAGCCAAATAAATACTGTATAGTTACAATATTGGTATTAATCCTAAAAATGTGGTGTCAAGCTACTGAAAACTAATAATGTATTCCATTTTCAGGTTAGTGCAGGTGTTGCACAGCTTTCAGATGAAAAACCACATTAAAAGTGCATAGTGATGTTAGATGATTTTATATTTCATCGAGATGATCACATTGATGTTGTATTTACTTATTTACTCTTTGATGAAGCCCTTCTCTCATCTACAACAGCCCCATAGACCAAACACAGTACATTTTGTGCATTGCCTCTTAATTGATCGGATTCTCATGTCTACTGTTGAATACAAGAGACAAAATGCAGCTCCTGCAATTTGGATTCTGACTGACCAAATCAAAACCTGGCATTCACCAATTTAGATTCATACCTGTATACAGATAATATATTATGTGCAGCTTTGAAATGTGCTACCCATGAAGACAGCATATTAAGCCCTGTCTGCATTCTTAACCTTTAAAGCCTGTGCACAATGAGGTTCTATCTGAACAACTTTCACATTAAAATGGCTTTGCACTTTTTCTTAATTGATTTATTTTAAGCTGGTGTTATGGTGGATATTGTCCATGTTTGTCCAGTCATCTTAGGAAATATGCACCAAACAACAAAACCAATTAATTTAAATTTAGTTTCATTGTAGTTTTTTTTTTTTTTTACCTTGGAGAAATCCTCTGGTTAATTATAGTGGCACTTCCTTTTTTCAGTAATCATACAATAAACTGCTGCAGGTTTAACTCATTAAGATAATACCATCCATTGTGCCAATGGCCACATGATTCTTCTTCTTAACATTTGTCCTGCTCAACTAATTTTCCTTCAACAGAAGCTTTCTCTTTTTTATTCTGAATAATTAATCACAAAAAATTTTGCCATGATTTATCTTTTCTCAAGGTTTATGTTTTGCAGTTATTAGTGTTTTCATATGAAGAATCTCATTCAGAGACTTGACGTGATTGAAAATATTCTCACATCAACAAGAGGAAACAGAGGAGGAGGAAAAAGAGGCCTCCACTAGAGATGAATCCCTCAACATGATGCCACTTTATAGTGTTGAGGTGCTTAATTTAGGACACCTTTGTTAGCCAGGACAAAGATTAATGTTGAGCTACAGGAGGCAGGCAAATAGATGTCACCACCTTGTGGAAAATATCTATAAATCTAAATCACAGTCATCATCACAGTCACCAACAGTGACGCAAAGGTGAGTCATGTTTGTTCAAATGCAAACTGGCAGCGATTATCAGCTGGTCAGACAATAATTAGTGCAAATCTTTTAAACCAGTACAACACTAGTCAGAGAGCTCCAGTTTGTACCTAAACTGCTTGTGCATTAGTCAGAAAATATAAAGAATAACCAGTGTTTGCAATGGTGGTTTTATATATTTAAAGTTCAAGGAGTTCTTTCTTCAACTTGTCAAAGAGAAGTAAACACCTCATCATGAGGTGTGCACTTTAATTTCTCTACCTCCTGGAGGTTTGTCACTGAAGTTTGCCTTGAAGAAAACGTTGAAAAATTGGTGACATTTGAAAAAAAAAAAAAAAAAAGACTTCACGGGGCATGCATTTCAAAATGACCGGGGGAAAAATAAAAGGTAGACAGTAATAAATGGGCTGAAACTCAAAATGACCTGCATTCCCCTTTAAAAATATTGGATGACATTGTCCTGTTGTGGACAAGCAAGGGGGCGATTGCTACTCAAACAGATCACAGGCAGCCTGTCCACCGGTCAATATTGACTCAGCTGCTATGTTGTTGATGTGCGACATGCCTGGATAACTGAGTTACTGAGCTGCATGCATCCGGCCATGCCATTGCTTTTTCTCTATTTGGCCCATATACAGCACCTGCTGATATTACATAGTTAACGCAGCCGCAGCAAGTTTGAAATGCAGGTTCAGTTAGTGAATCCAATGATTTAGTACATTGGCTTATGTCATGTTGTGGGTTATGTCTGTATTTGTCAAAACAGGTGGGCAGTCCTGCATATGTGCAGCACACACACTTCCAGCCAAAGCTCAGGAATCACACAAAGAGAAAAGAAATGAGAGAGAGAGAGCAGAGAGAGACAGAGCTGACGGGGAGGACAGTCAGGAGCTGCACGGGGAGGGTGGTGGTTCTACTTACATTTGCAGCCATCGTCCCACAAATAGTCGGGTAGACACTCCTGACACTTGGGCCCTGTAGTGCCCTCCTTACATATACAAAATCCTGTGCCATTACAGCGATCACTGACTGAGCCAAAGGGATTACAATTACACTCTGGAAAAACAAGACACACACATACACACACAGGCTGGAAACAGGGTGGTGCTTTGACTTCTCGCCACATATTTTCACAGCGTGGACCACAGTCCTCGAGCTCGACTAGAAGCTCAACAAGACACTTTGTTATTTTTAACTGGTAAAAAAACGTGAAAAGATTTAAAGACTCATACAGAAAAAATGCTACCATTTCAACTGTAATGGAGACAGAATGAGAAAAGAATGAAATTGATTCTAGATGCATGAACTCATTGTAAATTACATTAAAGCATATTTGTAATTATTATAAAACTATAAAATATTTTACTGTTACATAGGTAAACAACATGCAATGAGCAAATATGCAAAGCATTAACATTAGCTTTGATTTACAATGGACATAATGGGCAAATCTGCACATGCTCTTCTAAAATCTGATTCATTCATATAGAGAAAGAGAGAGAGATGAAAAGAAGAGACAGGAAATGTTATCAGCACGTATTGGATGGATAATGGCAAATGAAACAAAGACAAAGAGTGAATGTGAAGGTTTTAGAGGAATGAGAGTGCAATACATTGAAATGGGCATTGTTGTAATATGTTCTTTAATTCTCTAATTTTAAAATGGATGTACATACTTCATGTTATCCCTCTTAGTTCAATTTGTGTCTACAAATTGGATATAACCTTCAAATGCCTTTTACAGTTAAAAGAAGAGAATGGTCCTTAGCTGTGATTAGTACAGAATATCCTTTAAAAACCCTACTCCAAAAAAAAAACAACCTGTCAAGTCTCTAGTGTCCTACACTCAACCGACCTTCCAGCTTTCCACAGCGGCTGGAGCACTCTGCAGTCAAAGTGACACCTATTTTGACAGTCCCTGACCATCACATTGCACCTTCTGTGGCAGTGCTGGCTGCACGTGGCTGCACCCGAGTGACATCCGGGGGTCAGGCAAGAGGAGAGAGGAGACGGCAAGTGACAAACGGAGGGGTCAGTGAGAGAGAGGCAGGGTGACGGCGAGTTTGGCACGAGGTAACGCCTCGGTGACTCTTAACGCCTTGTGACGGGTTTCAGCTGCTACTCCTGAGGCCGTTTCATGTATATGACATATGCACTTCGTGGCACCTCTGACTGGCGGTGTGACTTCCCTGCGACATTTCTCTCAGAACTCTTGTTGCCTGTCAAACCCCCCAACCCCACAACTCACAAATGCACCTGGCACTGAGCGCTGTGAACTCACACTCCACATGCCAGCTAAAGAATCCAACAGAGAACCAAACTATTGCCTTGGGATCTATGTGAAATGCAATTTTCTCACCTTTTTTACACATAAGAAAAACAGACCATGCAGCGTATGAGTGCCTGCATAAAGGTCATGGACAAAGTAACAGAAACACCAGCTGACAATGGCCTTCAATGGACTTCTAACTGACATCATAACCAGTACACGCAATTCAAATTCATTGAATTGCTTGCACCGAATATCAATAAGTAGTCTGTAGTTTATATGTCAGTCTATAGAGAAGCATAAGGTCACACGCTTAAGAGTAAAAGTACATACAGTTACTTTAAGGAGGACATTTTTGATAGTATTAGTATTTAATATATAATACTAATACTTCTAAAACAGCTACCCTGTCTCTGTCCAACTTTTACTATTCAGTTCTGGTTAAACATAGGAGATGTAATGTGTTCATTTGTACGTTTTAGAGGTGCTGGTTGGTAGATTTGTTTCCTTTGGGCAGAGCCAGGGTAGCTGTGTCCCCCTGATTCCAGTCTTTATGCTAAGCTAAGCTAATGGGTTGTAGCGTCATATTTACTGGACAGACATGAGAGTGGTATTGATCTTCTCATCTAACACTCAGCAAAAAAGTGAGTTAAGTGAATTTAACTAAATGTCCAGCCACAGCCGGATAAAGATGCACTTCAAAATTAGCTGTTCTGTCTATAAATTATTAGCACAGTTTTTAAATACTGAGATTAATATATTCCTATTTCATTTAGGTGTTTCCATTAGTTTGTGCTCATTCTATATTATTCGATATCAATCTACAAATCAGATAATTCTAGCTCTAAATCAAGCTTTGTTCACTTTGTGCCCCTGAAATACAACCTAGCAGCTAGCATAACATTCTATTTCAGTAAATACAACCTAATTATGATATTTGACATCAACCCCAAATCAGTCCGCAGATATTAATACCATACCTGAAATTAAGACAAGAAATCACTTGAGCTTCAAATTGCTGTGTGTCTGACTGAAGCTGAGTGACTGGTGTCCTCCATAGAACACTCATTCTGATGGGGGAAGTTAATGAGTGACACCATTGTGCTTAAGCAGAAGAAGCAAAAGAGGAAGATGTGGACTCCACTAAAAGACATGGAGGCAGGAGGATGCACAGATGATGAAGTTGTGGGGTATGAAATGGGATACTTTCTCTGGTGACAAGTCAAAGACAGGAAGTGAGGCAGGGACAGAGATTGTGTGAAAGCAGTGTGGCAGTGAAAGGGGGCCAGGAGGGGGACTAACCTATGCACACATTTTCATCATCCAGTTCTGCCGAGGCATTGCGGTAGTAGCCCAGCTTGCATAGCTGGCAGTGCTGGCCCCTAGTGTTGTGCTTACAGCTCACGCAAATGACGGTGTTTAGCAGCTCGATGTAGCTGCATCGGTTGGAGTGGCCAAAGCATTCACAGTCTTGCAAAGAGAGAGGAAGTGTAAAGAGAGGAGAACAGAGAAAGAGAGAAAAAGAAAGAGAGAGACGCGGTGGTAGCGTAGAAACTGTTGCTGCGAGTGCTACGGCGGTGGGGTTAGCAAGAAGTTGAGCGAGGCGCCATGGCATGCGAGGTTAAAAATGAAGACTGTGTTGTGAGGGAGGAGAGGGAGATGTCGGGGAGGTGATGACAGGGGAGGGTAAGTTCATGATCAGTCTGGCATGGGCACAGCCAGAGTTAGAAAAGACATCACATAATAAAGCACAGCATTAGTAGGACTCGGAGAGGTCACATCACTTCAAGCACACCATAACACGAGGTGAGGAAGGCTCCGAAATGATAGCACAGAGACACGGTCACATCTTAACCACCACACAGCGTGAGACAAGTCAAACCATGAATGAAATGGATCTTTCAACCCAGGGATTGGCGTGGTGGATTTCTTGATGTTATTGTGTAACTGAGCTCTTGAATGTTATGGTTTATCTGGTTCGAAGAGACGAGAAAGGGAATGAGATGAAACTTTTAATGCCGCTTCATGTCACAAACCCATGTAATGAAATGCCTGATAAATTTCAAGTCCAAACCCATAACTCATCAAACAAATATGACTAAAGCAGCTATGGAGTTGTTTTTAAATCTTGTTGGAGCTGAACTTCTTCGGACAGTGGTCAGTAAGGCAAGTGAGCGTATGGTGAGTTGCAGTCGGGAGACTGTGTCATTGCCTGTTATGCAGTGTTATGTCATGCTAAATTTTTATTATAGAGGTGTAGCTGGTCTGCAAAACCTCATGCTGCAGTCTCTGATAGCCACTGGCAGCCCTGCTCTAAGGGGTGCAGGATGGGAGGGGGCAGCCCCAGCTCAGCTCTCTCTGAGTGAGGATCAGTCTGCCATGCTGAGTGACCACTGACACGATGTGTCACAGTGCAGACAGATGTGACCCTTAAGCCTCACTGGTAGCCGCTTGGACAGAAAGCCCACTCACGGATCCAGAATAGTAGGGTTGGCGGATGGGGCTTTCGTCCAAGGGATTGTGGTTATTAAGGATCTGTATTGAGGTCAGGTCTCTCTGTCCGGCCACTAACAGCCTGACAAGGCTTGGAAATGAAGGAGCAGCGAGTCTAGTCCACTGTACCTTTCACCTAAAGCAGAAAGTCTTGCCCAAGTGTAAGCTATCTACATTAGATACCTCACTCTCACAGACATACTCTCACAAGACAAATAATCTCTCCTTTCCAGAAATAGGCTAAGGTCATAAATCATGCACGCATGGGGAATAAAAAGTCTTGAGTCTTGGAAACACATTCCCCAAAAATAGTTGAGCCTCAAACACCCACTTTATTTGCACTGAAAAAGATATGATTCCAAGGGACATTTATAGTGTTTAGAAATGATTCCATAGACGAATGGATCCTCAGCGTGCGCTTTACAGTGAGAACCATCAGTCCAGTGCTGACTGGAGATATGGATACTGAGTGCTCTTGCATTGGGTTAGTGTTGCAGGGTTATGGGGCTTACAGTTAAACAGACACATCAGTTCATACATTGAGAAGGCTCGGGGGTCATCTGGGGGGCAATGTATTCAATAAATTCCAGAGCTCCTACCTCGCTTGCTGTTTGCAACGTGGACAGAAGGGGCAGTGGACAATGCAACTTGAGGAGCTACTAGACAAATTAAAAGAAGAAACAAACAACAAAAAAAAACAAAAAAACATGATATTGCAATTAAAAACAAAACATGTAATGTCAGAGAATTAGGAATAATGAGCATCACGTTTAATAATAAATGTTACTGTAAAAAAAAAAAAAGAAGAAACATACGCAGTAATGATGAATGATGGCACTGGGAAATAAGGAGTGACATTGCCAAGTGAAGTTGGCTGCATGAAGCAGCATCTGTTACAAATGCCTTAGATGCCGAACAATTCAAATATTATGGTTCCTCTTTTATGCTTCATTTCATTAACAAGTGCTTTATATAATTCAAAAGCCACTGCGTGTTTCCCCAGACAGAAACTGTCCCCTGACAAACTGCTCGCCACCTCGGTGGAGGCCAGCCAAGAATTTTCACCATATAAATTTGTGCACAGGAGCGTTGGTAAGGAAGCTGGCTCACAGTGAACACATCAATCCCTCGATTCCTTTCCGGTCATAAAACAAACAGTGGGAAAAAGAAATAATAGGCTCAGCCTCTGCCATTGCACTGGGTGACATAAGCCCCTGACACATACACTGTGTGCACTTGGCTGCAGTCATGGAAACACAGAGCCGAGTGGTTGTGAGCTAGGTGTTTGTGAGGTGGCTGCACATCACAACTGCAAGATGGATTAAGCTAACCTAACATCAATCTGCATAAAACCACCGTGAAACCTCCTGCTTTCTTCCTGATGTGCTCAGATGGGTCTGAGAATCTCTTCACTTATTTAAAATCAAGTGTGTATGCATAAATGTACAGTGCACATTGAATGTTTGAGAAGATAATGCGCAGCACTGCAGCATGTGGCAACATGAGTGCCTCATGAATACACAAGCCTCCGCTGAAGGAGCCAGAGCCCTTTATCATGAGCAAGACAAGCAGGTTTGTCAGGAAAATAACCAAGACTGGAAAAGGGGGAAGATGCTACCCACAAATACTCTTGAATCTGTGAAAAAACAGTTGTTGCATAATCTTAGATGCCTACCTTCTTTTCGGTTAGCGACACCTAGGGATGACACATTCGGCCGAACTGCGTGCAATTGAGAGAAACCAGGAGTTATTCATGTGCACTTGTGTGATGCACTTTACAGATAGTCTAGAGGGGGGGGGGGGGGTCTACGTGGTGGTAGTGGAAACACACAACTAGAGACACGAACATGTCCAGCATGATTCAAATCAGTAAATCAGGAAACAGCAAATACAATGGGGCAGGGCTGACATGGACGAGCAAAGAGAATGCATCCAAAGACCCATTAAAAGGACATTGGAGAGACGTTGTATGTAATTTGTATGTAATTTGTGTGACTTCCATGACCTCGTTGTGTATGTGTTTGTTTATGGCAATGACAATGATGAGTGAAAAACTGAAGAAAAAAAGATAAAACCCTCTTAAACTTAGTATTTAAGTCATGACTTATGCAAGCGAGTCTAAACTATGTATAGCAAATTAAGTCGTTAGGGGGCATTTTGTTTAATTCATCACATCGACTATGTAATCAATATCTAATTACAGTGTATTTCTGGTGGAGGAATAACAATGAATAAATAATGGCAGGTGTTGGGACTTGGAATGACGGACTGCTGTGGGTAGCATAACCTCATAATTACATACAAGTTGGTATTTCCGTGTCAGGGAAATACTTTGTGGTTGGAAATGGAGAGGACTCAAGCAAAGGGAGGAATACGGATACGTTTCCTTATTGTGACCCTTCATCTCTTCACTTGATCTTTCTGTCCTTTTTGCTATTGACTCCATGAATCATGCAATCTTGGGTAATTAACGTCCAGTGGTGTCTTGGCAAGAAGCCTATTACCCTGAATTTGACTGCTGTTAACAACGGCTGAATGATCACAGAAATGGAAGAATTCTTTCATACCTTTTTTTTTGTTACTGCATTGGAATTAAATAACATATTAGCTTTGAGCTTAGCATGTCTACACACTGACTATCACTTTTAAACCCACCTAACATTGCCAGTCATTGATTTGAAAACTGTTTTAACAAAAGACATAACATGCAGTGTCTCATCCTTTTCTTTCATTTTTTATTTCTCTTAAAAAAAAAAAATTGTGCCACCCTTGATCCTGCTTGAGGATGTGCAGTGGGTTAAAGTCACCTGAGTCACTTGATGAGAGGCTCTTTGAAAATGACAGATTGACAAATAAAGAGCCTAAGAAAAAGGCTCACTTCTCACACTCACAGCTTACCGCTTCAAATTTGTGAAACATTTTGTTTTGTTTGTTTTTTTTATCTGCATGTAGATCGTCTTTTTGTTTCTCCGTTAAACAATTTGTTTATTCAAAAACAAAACTGACTTGTGAGGACAATGACAATCTGTGAAAACAACACAATGTAGGTGTTATCTGAGAAAAACACACAAACAAACTGTACTGTCTGGATCTATAAAGTCTAATTGGTAAAGTAAGTTATTTTTTTAATTATTCCATGTTAGCAATTGATTGGACGTAATACACATCTGGGTTCCATTAATTATTTTGTTATGGGGAATATTCAGGTACGACGAGCTAAATGAGTGGTGACGGATTTTAATCAATGCCATACGCATAATGAAATGCAATCTTGCAGAGCCAGAATTGTTTTTTTAAAATATTAATTTCACTTTAATGGTCCACATTAGGCAATTCTGCCTGGCTTAATAAACTTGAAATAGAATTGAGAAAAGTCAATAAGGAATTCAATTACCTTCAAACAACAACATGAAATGTGCAGTGCTTTCTTTTTTGCTCACAATAGCTTTGCTTGTTGACCAAGGACATCCTAACCTTTGTTTTGTCCGCATTATTCTTACTTTTTTAGTAACACAGACATAAACTTGGTTTGCTTTTGCACTGCAAACAGCCTCATCCTCTTCAGTGAGTCTTAAAAAACAGTCAGTGTTTAGTTTTTAGTGTGAGAGGCTGCTGTGACAAGACAGCCACTCGTGAGAACTCTAAATCCCTGCGGGCCAATCTGGATGAGAAGTGAAGACTTTGGTTTGTCAGAGTGTCCTTTCTACATCGCCCACCTCCCCCACCCAATACACACACACTCACGCACACAACCACACACTTATCAGCATGCACACTCTCCCCGCAAAGGATTTGAGGACAGCCGTTGGACATGGTCTGGCCTGGCATTTGGATGGGACGAAGAGGGCTGATGTGAATATGTATGCATGTATATACAGCATGAATGAAGAGCATGCACACACACATTAAGCTCTAGGCAGGCCATGCATGGGCTAGAAGTATGATTTCTATGGTGTGAGGAGTTGGTGGAGGAGGCAAGCAGTGGGAGATTAGCAGGGGGAGGAGGGTGATGGTTTTGTCTTCTTGGCCACATGTCCATTTCTGATTCATGACATAGCATCAGACTTTACAACCAGTATTCACTTCCTGTGTAAGCCACCACTCTAAAGCCTGATTAAAAACCACCGGGGAACAATCTGTTTCCACCCTACTCCTCACAGCACGTTTTGGGAAACTTGCCCAGCAGTCATCTTAGCCCTTAAATGATGAAAACAAGACAAGTGTGCATGTGATTTGCATGTGTCCTTTGGTAAAACTTGACAAGGGCAACACCTGAGAATAAACTGGATGCTGGGTGAAAGTAAGCCACTGGCATTATTTTCGAAAATATGAAAATCAGCGCAGCACATAACAGAGCTTAAAAATAGTTTGGCATTTTGGGAAATATACTTCTTGCTTTTTTTATTTTATTTTTTTGCTGAGAATGACCTGACAGGATCGATACCAGCAGTTTACTCTGTCAAATATGAAGCTGAAACCAAGAGATAAACACTTAAAACAGAGGGTAGCAGATAGTTTGTCTCTTTTTACACTTTGGTTCTTGCTCAGATATAATAAACAAGATATAATGTGTTAATAAATGGGCTTTAGACATGCTGGCAGAAATAGTTATTTTTCACTTCTATGGACAGAGCCAGGCTGACTGTTTCCCACTGCTGTGGCTCAGGAAGTAGGGTTGTCCACTAATCAGAAGGTCAGAGGTTCAATCCAGGGCTCCTCTGGTCCGCATGTCAGAGTGTCCTTCGGCAAGGTAATGAACCCTAAATTGCCCCTGATGGCTGTTTCATCAGCGTATGAGTGTCTGTATGGGTGTGATGTATGAATGTGTGAGTGAATGGGTGAATGTGACAAGTATTTAATTTGTTGTTAAGATTAGAAAAGCACTATATAAATGCACTTCATTTGTTTCAAGTCTTTATACTAAGCTAAGGTAACAGTATCCTGGTTCAGCTTCATCTTTAACAGACAGATATGAGAGTAGTATCAGTCCGCTCATCTCAGCAAGACGGTGTAGTTCTCAAAATACCGAACTATGTATTTAAGCTAAATGGTAATTCATTTGATATTCTATGGATTTGGAAATGTTGTGTTTAGGTGATTGGTGAATCTTACACAAACTATGACATGAAGGGACATTGATTTCATAATGTATATTTAAATGATATGTCTAAATCTACAGACAGTTTCATTATATTCACAAACAACAGCTTACTACTAAACGTTGGCCAGTGGATTAAAGTGTTAGCATGGAGCACCAGAGACAACAACTGCAACAACACATGGCTTTGGTGTTTATCATCACTTAACAGGTACGTTTATCACCGGGCAAGTTTAAACTTGCATGTCTCTTTAACCAGCCTGTCTATGTTTGGATTGGGAGGGGGCATTTTGCTGATCATTGTGGTGACCCAGGAACAGAGGAGACTCTGTAAGAACAGGGCAATGAGAGAAATGATTAAGGAGAATTGAGCCAGGCTCTGAATGCACTTTGACTTGTTCAATACAGCCCTATGGTTCCTGCATCAAACAGCCTTCCAGGCAGCGGTAACTTGAGTCAAGGCACCTCTCTTCTTCCCCCTCCTCCTGAGGGGCTACTGGTTGACGAAGATAATACCAGCCGAGGCGCTTGCGGCTTATATTAAAATGACCTCCTGTGACATTATACTGGCAGAGAGGTCTTGGCAGTTTAATAAAGTCTAGATGCCATTTATTTATAATGCATAGGAGAGAGGGGAAAAAAAACAAATGACATTCAGCATGCAGAGCCAGGCAAGTGTTATCTGGTTGAGTTGAATCTGGATAAAGTAAATTAATATGCCCACATCATGAAAATATAACCCCCAGCTACTCCACCCCACCCCACCTCCCAAAAAAAGGTTCATCAACAACTGTTGAGCAATCCTTCGCAGGAAGACTGAAATCAGAAATGAACACTTGGCATCAAGTTCAGGGGATGTATGGTGAACAGTGGCACAATAGGCAAAGCAAAGCATCAAGCATTCATATAGTTCTTTGTAACAGTTTACTTACTAACTGGACCAATGTTATTAGGAACACCTGCAAGAGAGGAAGAGAAAGAACAACTTAAATCAAGGCATATGACTGAGTTTAAGGCAACAGCTGCAGCATTTCTCCTTGAGAAGGGAAGTATACTGTCAGTCCTGATTCATCACGATGAGCTGGCTACACATGACATTTAGTCTGAGTGCTAGTGCTGGTGTTCACCGTGATTTGAAAGTGCTGTCTGCTGCATGTTTAGCTTCACACTTGTTTGGTTTCTTCTGGTTTCCTCCATTATTTCTGCTTTGATGTCCCTGCTGTTAGTAGTGCCAGAAAAGGTCACTGCTGCCTGCTCCCGCAGCAAAGGGTACAAAATGTCCAAACGTCACTGAAAAACTAATTCTGGGCTCACAACAGGCTCACTGACAGTCAGCGAAGGTGATATTTTAGTTATTTTAAAGTTTAAAAGTTGTATACTGCTTTAAAATGCTTCTCGGCACATCAGCCTTTAAAATGTGTTGCCAAAGACATAAGGCAGAATTCTCATGCACACACACACACACGCTCACACAACATATCAAATGGCATCATAGATGGCAAACTCTGCCTCTGACGCCAAAGGAGGACATGTTTTATCCCACTGCCTGCCTGTCTGTCCCTCCATCAAGCAATCCCTCGTGCCAGACAGCCACTGAGCAGATAATACAGTCTGTCTCATCCCCATGGTGACCAGATCTCTCCCACACCAGGACACTGGCTTGCTGTTTGAGAAGATGGTGGAGAGGGAGACATTCACAGACTTCTTGCACCAATCACTTCACCGTCTGATCCAACCACCAACATCTTGGTTTGGATATTAATTAGTTGTGTAAATATGGCTGTCACACTCGTTCACATCTGCGGCGACTTCACACATTATCAAGCTCAGACAATGTTAGAAAGCTCTTTGCCATTTTCTCTGTTTGAAATCTCGTATTTTTGGTCAGTGTTTGTTTTCAGAGGAATTTGCTTCCAGGACATAGACGCCAGTTCCACTTTTTCTAATCATCCGTTTGAACAGAGGCCCTTCCATTCACTCTACCTCCTGCCCTCAATAAGGCAGTCTGCCCGCAAAAACAAACAACCCCCTCACCATGGGAGGGGAAGCATGCTGGGCAACAGGAGAAAAGCACCCACATAAACTGGAGAAGAAATTAAATAAAAGGAGCTCTCTCTTCCTCTCTCGCTCACATCTCTCTCGTCTTCCGCTCACCACCAACTTACGGCGGTGGAAGCCGAGGAGGCAAGCAGGCATCTGTGCAGGATTTTTGGTGGGGCCCTTTCATCTAATGGAGCCGTCATGAAATATCTCCAAGTTCTCAGGGGAAACATGAGGATATCCTGAGTGTTTGTGTCTGTGTGTGTGTGTGTGTGTGTGTGTGTGTGTGTGTGTGTGTGTGTTTGTGTATGTGGACTTTGATCAAACTCCTGTCATTCAATCACTCTTCCTCTGATCTCCTGCCTGCCAGCTGTGTTTAGGAGCCAAATCTGTGACCTGTCTGAGAGCTGTGAAGTACAGGAGGCTGTGCTGACACACGGAGGCAGAGCGTAATGGATGTCAAACCTCAAGGGGGTGAGCAGATGCTAACCAGGAGACAGGAAGGACAAGAACAAGGACAATCTGAATCACAATCGCCTTAATCACCAAGTACAGTCTGATTTGGCAACATTGGTGTCACAATACTGATACAGTAGTCCAGTGAATGCTCTATCTAACTTAGTTCACATACATAATAACCAGAGCGGGACAGTTATGTGTTTTTGAATAACACCACTGTTTGTTTTATTGCAGCTACCTGTAGCCTTTCTTTTATTTGACCAAATATCGCTAATTAATTATTTATTGATTTTCAGAATCTCTTTATTATTTTAATTAATTTTACTTAAAGCCAACATTGTTTAAATATTAATATACTTTCTATACTAAAATCCCTAATCGTGTGTGCCTCTGTGAGATCTGATAAAATGTCTAATTTATTTGTCTAATCATACTTTAGTGTTTGTAATTTGCCCCAAAAGCTGTGCATGACCACAGTATGAGTTTGGGAGGTTCTTTTAACCTTTCTAAAAGGGCAAACGTGTAATGACTGGATTAAAATTTTTGCTCAAATGTAATCATTACTACTCACAGCAGTAACCAAGTGGTAATGTTACCTCCACGGCAAGTGGGGCGCATAATTCACTAACATAACTACATTTATTTATGGAGGTTACGTTAAAAAAGCCTTGTTCATAACTAGAATGGTGTAAGAGTTTAGGGTCAAGTTAGCTGCTCTGACTTTGGTCTGACACTGCAGCAATCCCAGCCGACATAACCTGAGGCAATGCTGGCTTTGCCAAACACAATGTAAGTTAGTTCTTAAATGTAAATTCTTTAGTAATGTTTAAAAATGAAAACATACTGGGTTAAACAGGGTTATGTTTCATTTTTCCTTATCATACCTGGATCTAGTTATCACCATTTCTACATTAAAATGAGTCAATCTGCATGATTATAGCAGATATGGACACCATTATCATCTACTTTCACCTGTATTACAAACTCTATTCATGCATACACTGCTGAGCCAAACATACATTTACAAAGGTCCTCCAGTAATTCACGAAAGTTGAAAATGTTAGACTGAAAGTGTTTTAGCTCTGTAACTGAACTGCAAAAAAAAAAAAAAAAAAAGCAGTAATGCAGTGCTAAAAAGGGCCCGGTTAAGTAGCTGACAGAGCAATAATACACAGGCACTATCTACATCTAGTCTGGAAGATTAGCAAGGGACCCGCAACATTAACTGGATAGGGATATAAATATAAAACCAGAGAGCGGGAGAGGTGACTTGCTTCTGTTATGATGGTGCAGACTTCTGTACTGTGAACTGTAAGTTTGAACAGAGAAAATATTCTTCATATTGTGATGAAAAATGTTCAAACAGGGCTGCGGCTGTCGAGACTGTATGTGACTCTTGTTTGCCTTCAGCTAAATATCAGAGACCTCAGCCATACTGTTGTACTAGAGGGGTGTGTTGAACCCGTCACACATCAATAAGATGATGCTCGTAACAATGTTATGAAGAATATACTCTCGTAATTATACATTGTAAAATAATTGTTGCACTTGTATTCAATGCACTGTGGTATGTTGTCCCTTCCTTTCCTGATGTAAATGTACTTGTAATATCAATCATGCTTTATACAAACAAATTAAGTGTTAATCAAAGTGACTGCTCATTTGACAAATTACACTTTGTCACTCTGTTGAGTTCGGGGCCAAATAACCTTATCTTCCGGGTCATGATCTGGAACACCAATGGCCTGTCAGGATAATTATTTGCTGCTTTATGAACAACCTGTGGGGTTCGAGCAGATGTCCAGGATCCCATGTCGGGTCATTTGATTAATTTTCAATCACCGTCATTTCCAATCCCCTTCACCTACCTGGCCCCACCATTACAAGGCACGGCTGCGATCTAATTCTGTCCTATCACACAGGAAGAACATTAGGAGCCGCTTATGTTGACGGTGTGCTCCATTGATTTTTATGAGCTGTGCAGGGATCATGCGAGCTGCTGAGTGGTGAACATGATCTCAGAAGGGGTGTGTGATTCACTGAACATGATCTGTGTGCATGTGGGGTCAGCACATGTGACACACACACACACACACACACACACACACACACACACATATGCACGTGGGCATTAAAATACAGTAGAGAGCCAGAGTCATGTGGGGCATCAGAGCAGCGTTTTTCAAATCCCACTACTTGATTATTTGATGCTCATACTTCACTGGTTCAGTTCCAGTTATGCCGTCAACCATCCAGGATCACTGTAAACGGATTATTAGACACCCATAATGAAATGTTCTCCTGTGGTTCTATGGGCTTTAACTATTTGGCATACATCCCATTTCCTCTTTGAACAAACTCATCTGTCATTTATTCACCCTCAGTGTTTCCACACATGTACAGAAAGAAAGGACAAATGTGCCATATGGTTCCTAGATTCTACTGTCAAGAGCACGTTTAGTTGCTGGTGTGGAAGTCAGATTGTGTGTCTTTTTTTGTGTGTGTGAGAGAGATGGGGAGATGTGGGCGTCATTACATTGTTTCTGTCAGTATCCATTCTGCGCTGACCTTCGATATGTCTCACCTGTTTGCCTTGGCGCTACCTGGGCTACTCTGGAAAGGGGCTTATCTGCTGAATTTCCACAGCAAGCAAAGTTGGTAATTACTTTCCTGGCTGCCATCATTTTATAGCAATCCATCATCATCTGGAGCTCTTTGGCTATATAGAGCCCAGTGATGGTGACAGGCGTTGCTAACTGGTTAGCAGCAGAAAGGCTGCCAAAACCAAGCACACGGCATGCAACTTGATTGAATTCCTCAGGAGTAAAATTACGGCTTGCCTTGCCAGAGTCGTTCGTTCGCTCTTAATGTGTAGATCTGAATTGAAGGTGGCAAGTCTTAAAGTGCCCAGGAGCAAGTTGGAAGGAGCACAGTTTAAGGTTTCAGGGATGGAATGAGGTGTACGTCGGTGGTGGCAGCAATGGGGGAAGGAGGGGGAAAAAAAATCTGGAGATGGAAGAAACAAATATTTGAAAGAAAGATTACCGTCACAGCCTCACAGAGCCGAGATGTGGAAAAGACAGAGTAAACAAGCTTGGTCTCTGGGGTGGTTGGGGGTGTTGTGGGGGAGAGAGAAAGAACACGAGCATGAAACAAATCAAGAGATGGAGCAAAAACAGGCAGAGGTAGAGAAGAAGAAGTAAGGGAAAGAAAAAGAAAGGTGGTGTGAAAGGAGGGCAGAAGGAGCAACAGAATGAGAGGATGCAAAACAACAGGTGATGAGTTTTAGAGAGAAAAAAAGAAAGAGAATGGGGATAAAATGGAAATTCAAATAGCTGTGGAGAAAGGAATAAAAGCAGAAATGAGTGGGTGAAGGTGGAAGTGAAGCTATGTGTGCACAGCAAGCATGTTTATGTGTGTAGATGCATAAACACATGGCAGTCAGTGAATACACAGAAGA